AAACATTGATTAGTTTTGTTTAAAAACAAATATTACAAACTGGAGGTTTATGTTATTCCTGATCTTATCATGCCTATACCGCTCCTACTTGGTAGAGATGCATTTGAATTACTTAATATTAAACAAGTATCGAAAAGAAATCCTGATGAGTTGTAAAGACTTCAACTTACTTCATGATTTTTTAATAATAATTATGTTAATTCCTATCGATATTTTTACGCTCATTTTTTACTGATCATGGTGCAAGAATTTTTGCATCTGGTTAGTCATCATGGGTGAACGGGTGTTTCTGACGATTAGGAGAAACTGGACAGCTGTTTTCTGGCGACTCTGAGAAGCAGCGGACAACAGCAGTTTTTAACAGCGAATGTTAGAATTCTGCTGCCAATGTTAGCAGCGCAACAATACGAAGAAGACATCTCCGTATGTCACGTTTTTATAACCGAGCTTTCATATTCCCTAATTTGTAAAACTAAAAGAGCAATAAGTCAAAGATTGAAAGTATACAACTGAATACAACTGGTGAAGTTCAACATATTTCTGTGCTTTTATTACAAGGTGTGTGAAAGACCCCCAGAGTAGACTTCGGGTGCAAATCGTCAAAACATTTTGGGGAACAACATGAGGGGAACATACACTCATAACTTCATCAGCTTCCAATATTTGTAAACTTACTTCAATCTTTGGGATTACTTGTTTGCAAATCTACTATTAATTTAAACCAGCAAATTTACACAACTTATGCTACTTACATCGCCATAGAATAGAGAGAGAATAGAGGATTCATCCCATGCCTATTGCCATCTTCCGCGACTAGTCCCGTGAAGTTTGCCATCCACTTCCTTTAAAGTCGCAATACGAGCGGAACGACTGAAACAGGTGAGTGTGGTTGTGAGAGTGTTTGTGCGTGGTATTTTAAAGTAGAGTGCACTAGGAAAACATTAAAATTGGTAAAAATGAAAGTAATGGCAGTGATTTGGCACAACTAAGTTCGGCGCCATTGGCTGGGGTCGAGCCTTTTGCAGACTCGTACGCAATGCTGATGGACTTATCTTCCAGGTTGACCCAACTAATTAAAAATGCTACAAAGGACGGTCAAATAAAGAAAACTAAAACCTACTATGAGTAGGAAGCTCAACGAGCCTTCAAAACAATTTTACATAAATCATAAAGCGCTCATTTTACAGCAATGTCCACGATCGCATCCGTATTTTGCGGATGCTGTTGAAGACAATTGTGAGCAAGCATACAGCCACATTTATTGTTCATTCGCCGATGAATACGAAACCAAATTTCCAGTCCCAATACAGGTGTCAGGTGATCAATCCATAACGAACACCCTCGTGTCTATTCCTGTTTCCAAAATTCAGCTACCCGAATTGCCCGTACTCCACTTTTCAGGAAATTTTGCGGATTGGCCATCTTTTTATGACAGCTTTACGCAGCTAATACATAAAAATCCATCTCTTTGAAACATTCAAAAATTTCATTTCTTGAAGCAAGCTCTACCGGACGGACGAGATATATAATATATATATATGATATAAACCATATGGCATTAACAGAAACCAACTATTCTGTGGCATGGAACCTTGTGGTAAAACGATATAACAACCCTCGACTGCAGTTCATGTACAACATGAATGCACTGTACGGAATTGAGCCACTGTCCAAGGAGATCGCGGTGGACCTTAGGAATTTGTTAAACTTGGCAAATGTATGTATCAGTGAATTCCAACGACTACACAATGCCACTGATTCCTGTGAGTATTGGTTGGTACATCACTTATTTAGAAAGCTGCCTATCAGCACAACACAGGCCTGGGAGCGTTCCTTGGGCAACAACGTGGAAATCCCCACCTTCACAAACTGGAGATGTTTCTTCACAATCGATTGGTCAGCATCGACCTAATTGAGAGTAGGAAACCAGATCATCGGGAAACTCCACTGTTAGCTTCCACAGGAATCTTGAGTCTGGATCCATCAGGTGCTCTCGCTGCCAACATAATCACGTTCTAAGACGGTGCCCGGACTTCCTTGCCAATGATTGTTTCGCGCGAAAGGTTATAGACGACCTCTCGAAGGCATGCATCAATTGCCTTAGTTCTTCCCATTCTCTAAGTCAATGCAGCAGCAACCAAAACTGCTAGCAATGTGGTCAACGGCTCCACACTTTGTTACATTTTCCGAATGTTCAATAAAGTTCTTCATTGACTCCTGGAGTATCCCGACAGCATGCTTCAGACTCCGGTCGGAGCGCAGACGCTGCACAAATTGCAACATCGACGCAACTCTTAAGCGCAGTTGCCTCCCATCTGAACTCAACGACCCTTCTTGCAACTTTACTGGCTCGGATCGCAAATAACTCCACCGGGCAGTCAGCTTTAGTTCGAGCTCTCATCGATCATGGCTCGGAAGGCACACTCATCACGGAAAACATCGTTCAAGCGCTTAGACTCAAACGGCATCCTGTGCGAGCTGAGATTACGGGAATTGGTAATACGTCGCATAATCAGTGCAGGCACAGCACCGACTTCACCATAACCTCACGTTCAGGATCTGATTTTTATGCTTACGTGTCCTCAGCCTTCATCCTTCGTTTGCTAACAGGTCATTTACCTAAAAAAAATGTAATCATTAAGTCCTGTAAACATCTCCAAGGGTTACCCTTTGCAAATCCTAATTTCATCAAGTCGGGTCGCATTGACCTACTTATCGGTGTCGACATTACCCCGCAACTAATGCTTCGGGACATTCGCAAAGGGACGGTTGCAGAACCAATTGCACAAAACACACAGCTGGGCTGGATAGTTTTTGGACCAGCTGAAGCAGCCCAGACTACTTCAATCTCCATTCGTTGTAATTGGGCAAACCTAAACAATATGGTGCACAGGTTTTTCGAACTGGATCAGGTTTCCACGACAAGACAACTCGGCGCAGAGGAGAAATGGTGTGAACACCATTTTCAACAAACTCATATCCGTCAGCCGAATGGGAAATATCTAGTTCGTTTGCCTTTAAAGACGTTGTTTGACCCCACACAGTTAATCTGCCAGTCAAGGCAAATCGCATTAAACCGTTTCCACGCCCTGGAAAGGAAACTTGACCATTGCACATTGGTCCCAAAGCCCAATGTTCTTGCATATACTAGAAAAATGAAGCTACAACATTAATCTTGCCAAACTATATAGTTATTATATATGCAAAGTCTGGACAATATTTTGTGCCGATCGGGCCACGCCTTCCTTTCCGCCCCATTGAAACCAATGCACCCTGGGACAAAAATTTACAAAATATTCATGAAAATTGGGCCAGTATATCCAATAAATTTTAAATATATATAAAATAACTTTAGTAAATATCCCCTAAATCCCCTGTCCCCTCCCGCCCTACCAATCTTCAACTTCCAAACTAAATAATTCATCTTAAACAATTATAATATGTTTAGGGAATAGGCATCGATACATTCAAATGTATCCAAGTCATCTTCATCATCGTTATCTGTAGTAGAATAACTATTTAGGAAGTCGACATTTGGTGGTGTTAAAAGATCAATAACTTCTAATGGGTAACTGTTGCGTTTTTTGTTTTGATGTACTCTTTCCTTGATTTGGATGCTGGAAACCATCGGATCTAATGAATCAAGTGGTTTACAAAAAACGTCAGTCATGGTGTTTAAGCATCTTTTTTGTCTTGCATGCGAACGTCTATCATTTTTATAAATTTTGTTCCGAGCTTCGGATGCACTTTCGCCTAGGCAGCCAACTGGAAGGCACGATGCGGCAACGATCTGCACCCAAAAAAAAAATCGTCATCAATATGCCAATATTTAGGTGTCAATGTAATACAATTGAGTGTCAAAAAATCTCTGATACGAAGAACATCTAATTGACACTTTTTTGGTGTCATTTTGATATTTTCGAAGTTGTAGCCTAGTACTCAGATCGACTAAGAGTTCCACTAGTTGAAAAATCTTATTCTTCGTAGTGGGACCGAAGTTTCCAAAGTTCACCCGCAATGGATGTGGCATGGTCTTACTGTCAAGCAGCTGGGCTTGTTCCCAAACGGAAAATCAAATCAAATCTAGCAATTTAAAAAAGAAAAGTCATCTGGTGCACAAAGAAATAAAAATAAAAATACATGAAATGTTTAACGAATGCTTTTATTTATGTAAATTATAACTTTAAGGCTTCCTCTCGTCCCACGGATGCTTCGCCATCTTTCCCGCGTCATCTGTAGTCCAGCTTCGAATCCAATAGGAATATTGAACCTTTAGGATGTGGGAGCCGAATTGGGAACGGGGTTGTTCCGCCTGATGCTGCATGAAGTCGCCCAGCATCCTAGCTTCCCTTGCCCCTTAGCGGGCGACCTTTTTTCCTCCTCACTATAGAAGCTGGCGCGTCCTCCATCTCCGCTTTAGCTGCCAAGTAGCTGGTGGAGGTGGAGTCCGGTGGTTCCTCAATGGAGAGCTCGTCGGAGATCAAGCGATGTCCCATGTTCCTTTCCACTGGGATTATCTAGTGGATCTCCTCCAGCACTTTAACTGTTGTGCGGATTTGCCCCGCTGTGGTATTGCTTCCTGTCGGTCAAGTCCCACAATAATGGGCAACAGCTTGGATTAGGCACCCTTTTTCATCTGCACTGACCTCCTTAGGAGTTCTTTTTTCCATTTTTAATTTTTAAATTTCCCACCGCTTCTGCACGAACACCGCCAAAGATTAAATTTCTTATTCTTTGGGCCGCGGCTAACGGCGTTCATCGAAATTCACTCCCGAAATCTGGTATTTTTTCTGGTATTTCCTTAGCTCATCTGAGTACCGCGCTGAAAAACAGACCCGACTAAAAGCGCTAGCCGCGTATTTGCTTCTCGCTCACTCCTATGGTTAGCTCGCGGTTTTCGTCGATGTGAGTACTAGGCTTATCAATTTAACACTTTTTGGTGTCAAATGGACAAAACGCTTTGGCATTTTTTAGTAAGAATATGTGGTCACATTGACACTATTTCGCAGTAATTTGATACTCAATCGAATTATAAAAAGGCCATTATTAGGGTCAACTTAATACGATCTTAGCATCAATATGACACGAATTAATTGTTGATTTCACACCCAAAAAAAGACTAATAATTTCTTTTTCATTTTTTTTAATACAAATTTGGTTTTTTTACTGAAGTTATATGTGTATTTTTGATCTAATAAATTTGCTACCGTCGGCCAGGTGTACATACGTAGATAGGCGGGCAATCTGCATAAAAACGTTATCCTCCATAGTGAACTTAAATGACAAACAAAAATATTGCATTCAATATGTGCAATGTGTATCTATGAATTCGAAGATCGCCGTAACGAATAAAACACATTCCTGCGTAAATATGTATGTATGTAACCGCAAACTACATTACATATTACATATTATATTAAACACTAGCACCTTGCACTGAAATATTTGTCGTCTTTTACGCAATGTCGAGCTCACAATGATTTATCGATAACTACGCTTGCTTGCACGATAGGCGAATTTCGAAAATAGAAATACAATTATTGGTATCGACGAGACCCTGGATTTGGTCAAAATGACACTAATTAGGATCAAAAAAGGTTTTTCATACAATGTAGAATACTTTTGACACTCACTTAGGATCAAATTTCTTTTTGGGTGTGGGCACCATGAGCTAGTACTTTATGTACAGTAGCTGACATTGGGTACCAGGAATATTTTCCTATATATAAAAATGCAGTTTGTGCGCAGAAACTTTTAAGTTTTGAAGCATCTATTTCAAAGTTGCTTGAAATTGCTATTAAAATAGAATATAAATTTTTCAAAATCTCCTGGTCGAACCCAAGAGCATTTGCAAATTTGTCGGTATGCAAAAATGCTCTCATCGCTGTGTTTCCGTCGTTGGTACTGCCGCTTCCATATGCTTTGGGCTTATCGACATGGAGCCCAAGCTCCTCCCATAACTTGTGCTGTATTTCTTTTTTCCGGGCAGGCACTTTTTCTTTGTCTTGAGGGTCACGTACTTGCTACTTGTCAATACCAAGTCTGTATGACACTTTTAAAACAAATTGAAAAAAACGAATCCACGCATGTAGAGAACTTACTCCATACTCGAGCACTCGGGAGTTCTTCGGCGTAAATTTGTGCGATTGAACATCAGTCATGAATTCCAGGGGGGCTTCGCTCTACAGGTTGGGCAAGATTGGGTCGAATTGGTTTCTGTCAAAATTTTAAGAACTTTCCCATCAATTAATGTAATTTTCAGTTCAAAATTTATAGGGAAAACGCTGTTGTTCTCATCTGTGAAACCAAACGGCACTAAATTTTCAATTTCCGAGTCCAGTCGTTTTTTCTCTGCTCTGATATGACTTTGTGTTTCTTTTATGAATTCAATTTTTAGAGGCCTGCAAAATCGAACAGACTGCGGAGACCGATTCATCCAAATAACTCGACCTATCGAATCCACTAACTTAAGCGGAATTAGTGTTAGTCACAAACAGAGACTGATCGAATGTGTCTGTAGCTTCCAGGCTTTGCCCAGTTGAACCGTCAAATCCATAACTGGCAATTATTGTCAAACCGGAAATACCTTTATAAACATTGAACACGTCCTTTTGTAACAGAATAATACGCTCGGCTGTGTGGTTTAACAAGTTCTGTAATGAGACAGACGCGACAGATTCTGTAATATGTAGACCTTTAGGTCTGCTTTTATCTTTTGCACCGATAATTTGCTTGTAGCTTGGGTAAATATCACAATTTCTCTTTTTACTTTCCAGTCTAATGCTCATTCTCAGTTTTTTGGTAAAGCCATTCCCATCAAAAAATCTAAAGCTTCTTCTGGAGGTTATGGTACAAGCTCAGCTTTCGTTGTTGCTTCCTCCACAGGATTCAAGCACGCTTTCTTGGCAGCGATAGCAGTTGCATGAGCAAGAAGATTGACATCATTATCATTTTCTGCTGAAACTTCGCAAGCTAATCTATGCTTTAATCAAGAACGCCCTTCATCATAGCTTAATCGTGGCCGTCCTCCATTTTTGGGGGATTCTTTAATATAGTCTAATGGCTGAAATTTCGCAACAATAAGCAAAAAAAGTCAATGTTTCTGATCAACGAACAGCTGTCTTTCAGGGCCACCGAACTTAGCAGGGCTGCAATTATTTATTTATTTATTTTGGTTTTCACTCTTCCTAACGCTACAAGTACAAGAATACTTATAAATTAGTGCGCTAGTCACAATTCAATTTACATCATTAACATAATAAAATTTTCTTAACTATATAGTTCTAATACAAGACATTAAAACTATGACATTTGACATATGAAACATGAAATTCTTAAGGACTAAGTTTTGTTGTAAATTATATACTGCTTTTCCAGATGACCTGTGTTAAAAGATCGGTTATATATTACTATGCATTTTGATTTGAGGGGGCTTAAGGATAATCTATTTCGCTCTGCCCATGTCTAAACCATGTCTAATTCACTGTTACAGACACGAACACATTCATTAACTTGGCTAACAGGACAGCTTACATATAGTTAGACGTCGTCGGCATACATGTGCATGTCACATTTTGTAATATTTGGCAAATCATTAACATAAAGACTGAACAAAAGAGGTCCAAGAATGGACCCCTGCGGTACAACACGTTTTACGGACAGAATAGATGATTTAGATGATTGTGTGTGTAGATACTAGTTGTGATCGTTGAGATAAGTAGGATTTCATAAAACTTGTTGCAGAGGTTGAAAACATATAAAGACGACTTAGTTTAGTTAAAAGAATTTTGTGGTTTACCGTGTCAAAAGCCTTACTAAAATCTAAAAGCCTCAATAAAGTAATATTGCATCTATCCGTTTGTAGTCTAATATCTTCACTGATTTTTAAAACAGCTGTTGTGCAACTTCTGTTCTTCCGAAAACCGGACTGTTTCTCAGATAAAACATTGTGTGCATCCATTAAACTCACAATTTGGTTAGCAATTAACCGCTCAAGAACTTTTGACAAAAAAGGCAGGATGGCAATAGATCGTTATTCTGTACCTGATTTGAAAATTGGTAATATTTTTTGCTATTTTCCAAGATTTGGGAAACGTAGAGGTGGTGATGGAGCAGTTTAAAATGTGTGTTATAACAGAAAGAATTTTGGGAAGGATTAGTTTTAAAAATTTTGGATTTATCTCATCTAAACCCGTTGCGTTGGATTTAATGCTTAAAATTGATTCAAGGACATCGCACTGGCTGACACAATTAAAACTAAAAGTAATATCACAGTTATTTCTATCACAAGATTCAAGGGATCTCAGGTAGGTGTTATTAGTGAATTATGACCTTATATTATATTATGAACTTATGATTTAGATCACCAAGATCAGTATCACAGCTTAAAGTTGGTTTAATATTGCCGATCGCAAGAGTCTAAATCAGCACTAAGTAAAGCATAGTCAATGTTGATGACTTTACTCTATGTAATAGTCATTGTAGTCAATATTAATGTTGTACGTGAAAAAGATCAGTTTGGTCATGTTTGGAAAAGGCAGGCAACGATATTTTGTCATAATTCTGAATCTTTTTACAGTCACTAACAAAGAATACATCAAGAAGGGTGTTGCAGGTAGTGGAAAAATGTGTAGGATATTTAAAGTTTACAGGAATTAAGCCAAGTGATTCCATACCGTTTGACAAATTCTTTTCAATTAAAATATTACTGTTGAAATCGACAGCAAAAATTACATCGGAGTAATTCAATGAGAGGGTAGATAACAACTCAGTTTAAGTTTCTTGTTTATATAAACAGCAACTCCTCCACCTCAACCACTACGATCGGAGCGAAAAAGATTAAAATTTTCATTGACATATTACTAACATCGAAAACAAACCACGTTTCGGATACACAGATAACATCAATATTTGAGTTTATAAATAAAAAACGGAATTCTTCAATTTTAGCTAAACTTTGCGCGTTCAAGTGTATTATTTTTAATCCTGGTTTTTGTTTGGCTAGAATTCTGATTATTGCCTGGCTGCTTGTCCTGGAGATGAGTGGACTATCCATACTTAATACATAAAAATAGGTCACGCAATTCAAAGTTAAGTACACACACAATTAATTTCTAAAGATATAATAGTAAATACTAGAAAAGATAAAAAGACAAAAATCTAAGCATCATTTTAGGCTTATTTTATGTGCGAAAGGAACTAGACGCAGACAGCTGTTCTGGAGACAACTCGAACTGCAGCTGATAAAGCTTATGCATGGTCTCCAGACACATAATATCTGCTCTCCCATGCACTCTAACGTGAACAAAACCACGACGAGAAAAAACAGCTGATAGGAGCTTTTGTTTTTTCATAGTCATTGCTTTTTTAAAAATATTTTAGTTTTCCTTCGTTATTTGCTCGTTTAAATAAATTGCCGCATTCGAATTTAAACCTAACAGCCCCAGAACCAGCGGTTTCTTGTGAGTACGCCTGTATTCGGCAGCGTGCCGCAACATCGATATTTTGTCCCTCAAGTGCTCGAATTTGAGTTTTAATATTGGGTCAACAATAGTGCTTGTTTCGTTTCGTGTTTTGACCCTAAAAATCTCCAAAAGTTTTGGTGCCGGTGTGATTCCAAGTGAGAAGGAAAGTGTATTAAACAATGTTTTTAGTGATTCGACCTCTTTGTAGGGCACACCGTGCAATCTGACTTCGCACTGGACATCAGCATTTTCCTGAGCAGATATTTTTGCGGATAGCTCACCCACTTGCTTCTCCAGACTTCGCATATCTGCAATTTCAAACTCCAGATGTTGTATGTCGTCACCACGCGAGTGCACCTTCTCTATTTTGGCCTCCAACTTGTCGAAGTTCGTCTTTAGAGCCTGCAACTTTTTTAACTCCTCCTCCAGTTGTGTCACCCGTCCTGCGAGTTGAACCACTTGGTCGCATACGTCGCTTAGCTTCCCCTCCAGTGAAGTAAGAATACGCTCCTCGCAAGAACGCATTACATACGTTAGTTTTTCGGTCTGCTGCTCCGCATGGGCCTTCAATTTGTCCCCAATAAGCCGATCCAGAAGCTGGATAAGATGTGGTGAAGGGGCATCTGAGTCCCGACCAGGCTTCAGATCGGTATCCGTGGCTTCTCGTGCTCGTGTGGGGACAGGCATGGCTGTGTGTTTTTTTCTGAGTGAATTTGGTTAATTGAGTGCCTTCTGTTGTTTTGTTATACACTTCTTGAGCTAGTGCAAGACAATTTTTAGTTTTCTTGTTGGTTTTCGAGTGTTTCGTGCTTGTTTTATTGAGTGATTTTCGGCTTGTGCCTGCGAGTTAAAATGTGGAATATTTATTCACAACAATTTTCGATTATATCGTTGCTCGGAAACCATAAAACATTCGTTTTCTTCCTTTTTTGAAATAATTAGACTGCTTTAATTCAATGTAAATCCATAAATTGATTGGACCCGACTCTTTAAATGCAACATATATTATTCTAAGGAGATAAAATGTTTTTGTTTTCGTAACTTAAACAAAAATGGGTTTTTGCAAAAATATTGGGCATTGGGACCATTGTGCATTGGCCAGATTTTAGTCAACAGCACTATTCAAGAGTACTTTGATCTAAAGCAGATAAAAGAGGTAAAAAGCAGTGAAGAAGAACACACTAGAATCAACTCTCAAAGGCAACTCTCAATCTCCGCGTGCACCGTTCCACATCATGTTGTGATCAAAGACGACAATCTAACTACAAGGATTTGCGTCGTACACGACGCTTCGTGCAAAACGTGTAACGGGAGGTCTTTGAATGATATTTTATGCACGGGTCCCGCCTTACAAAATTATCTTGGAGGAGTTATACTCGACTGGCATCTCCATCGGGTGCCTCGGCACCCTTCTCGGCGATTCGAGTCATACATCAGATTGCGTCCGACGAGCGCGAACGCTATCCTCTGGTCGAGCATGTCCTTAAAAAAGAAATCTATGTTGGCGACGTTTAAACAGGGCACAAGACCATCGACTGAGCTCTAAAAATTCGCAATGATGTCATCGCAGCTCTGCAATCCGCAGGCATGGAGCTCAAGAAGTCGGCATCCAACCATCCAGATATCTTAGAAAGCATCCCAACTACAGATCTCTCTAACAGTAGCATTTTTGAGATATACAATAAGGACACCATTAAAATTTTTGGGTTGTATTGGCATCTAAACAAAGATGGTTTTGGCTTTAATTTTAAGTTTTCTCTTAATCCTATATTCACCAACCGTTCTATACTATCCACAGTAGCACGCTCATCGATCCGTTGGGATACCTGGTATCAGTGATCATCGCTGCAAAAAGCCTGTTGAAGGAAGTTTGGAGTTTTCGTATCGAGCGCAAAGATGAGCCCCCCGCATCATTAGATTGGGACGACCCCGTGCCAAATCAACTCGCCGAGCGGTGGCGACAGATCATTCAAGAGCTCCCAGACATTCAGAGATACGAGGGTGGTCCGATAAGTACTTAGCCTCCAAAAGAAAAACGAAAATTTTGGAAAAGTGGCGATTTATTTCTCAACATAATCTCCTTTTAGCTCGATATACTGACCCAGCGATGCTCCAACTTCTTTAACCCGTCTGAAAAATACGTTTTCTCGTGGTCTGCAAAATAGGCCTCTGTGGCGGCGAGGATCTCCTCATTCGACCCAAATTTCTGTCCAGCGAGTGACTTTCAAGTTTGGAAACAAAAAGAAGGCACACGGTGCCGAATCTGGAGAATATGGTGGATGGGGTAGCAGTTCGTAGCCCAATTTGGCCTTGGCGAGGGCGGAAGTGTGAGCCGGTGCGTTGTCATGATGGAAGAGCACTTTTTTCTTCGCCAAATGGGGCCGTATGTTCTGCAATTCAGCGGCGAATCGGCCCAATAACTCGGCATAGTACAGCCCTGTGACCGTGTTGCCCTACTACAGGTAGTCGATGTAGATCACACCTTGTGAATGCCGAAAAAAACGGTGGCCATCACCTTTCCGACCGATGGGACAGTCTTCGCCTTCTTCGGAGCAGGTTCGCCGGGTGAAGTCCACTGTTTCGACTGTTCCTTGGTTTTTGGTGTGTACGAGTGGATCCATGTTTCGTCGACGGTCACGAAACGACGCAGAAACTCCTTCGGACTGCGCTTAAACAGCGTCAAACACTGCTCTGAAGTGGTCTCACGGTTGAGTTTGTTGTCCGGAGTGAGCAAACGCGGAACCCATCGCGCCGACAGCTTTCTCATGCCCAAAATTTTATGCAGGATATGACCCACGCGGTCTTTTGACATGCCTACAGTCTCAGCAATCTCGCGTATCTTCAATCGGCGGTCTGCCAATACGAGATCGTGGATTTTTATCGTTATCCTCGGTGGTAGCCGTTTTTGGGGCACCTGAGGGTGTCAAGCCAACTGATGGGAGATTTACCAGCGCACCGTGTCAATCCGCCCAAACGGGCGTTCGAAGCAACTGGAATTGATTACACTGGTGCGATTGAGATAAAGTCATCCAGATTCAGGGGACACACTTGCTATAAAGCATACATTGCAGTTTTTATTTGCTTAGCAAGCAAAGCGATTTATTTGGAAGCTGTCAATGGAATGTCGGCACTGCATTTTCTGTGCCCCTCAGCGCTTTATCGGCCGTAGGGGCTTTTGTCAGTATCTATACAGCGACTGTGGACCCAACTTTATCTCATCCGACAAGTTTGTAAAGCTGTGGACCAATGAATTCTATGAAGGAATTGAAGGGACAGTAATTCCTGAACTTATTCGTCGAAACATTCAGTGGCATTTCAATCCTCCACATAGTCGAAACTTTCGAGGACTCTGGGAATCCAACGTTAAAGCTGTAAAAACCCATCTTCATCGATCGTTTAATGGTATTTGAATAACGTACGAGCAGCTCTCTACTGTTCTTGTCCAAATACATGCGTGCTTGAACTCTCGGCCATTATGTCGCGTAACGTCTGACTTAGATGATTTGCAAGCTCTCACCCCGGCACATTTTTTAATCGGTGATTCGTTGATGTCGCCTTCTGAGCCTAGCTTTAAAGATTCTTCACTAAACATAGAGTTCCTGAATGGTTAAAGGATGTTTCGCCTTTTTTTTTGCGAAAATGAAGTGCAGATTGGCTATCTCATCTGCAGACGCGCCCCAAGTGGCGCCACGAAACTGACAATCTTCAGCGTAACGACATGATCAGCATCAAGGATGATCGAACTGGTCTTTCTGACTGGAAATTAGGGCGAATCATCGACTTACATCCTGGGCCGATGAGCTCGTTCGAGTAGCTACTCAAAGGGTATTTACAAGAGGTCTGTGTCAAAGATTTGCCGTTTACCCTTACCAAGATTCACTGAAGAGTGTAGCCTGAGTAAAAAACCCTTGCACCTTTGAATATACCCTCGTTCACTCCATAACACACTTCAACCGTTTCAGAGTTCAGAAGCTGGACAGCTGTTTTCTGGCGACTCTGAGAAGCAGCGGACAACAGCAGTTTTTAACAGCGAATGTTAGAATTCTGCTGCTAATGTTAGCAGCGCAACAATACGAAGATTATATACGGAGAAGCCGGTCCCATTTTTGTAACCGAGCTTTCATATTCCCTAATTTGTAAAACTAAAAGTAGGAATACGTCAGAGATTGAAAGTATACAACTGAATACAACTGGTGAAGTTCAACATATTTCTGTGTTTTTATTACAAGGTGTGTGAAAGACCCCCAGAGTAGACTTCTGCTCAACTTTGACGATCGGGTGCGAATCGTCACAACAATGTGTGTTCTGAAGAACTATCGTAAGAATTCCATAAGTGATCAGGTATCATGTTCTTCTGATAAAGGCGGCCATTCGGGACATCCTTGCTAAGTGATATAGATATTATATTGATTTAATTAGGTTAAAGAACAATTCTGTAAGCCCGAATGCACGCTTGGTCCCGAATGAGTCTATACCGAATTGGATATCCGAAATGAAACGTGTTAGTGGAGTCTACCGACCTTTATGATATCAATATAGGCCGCGATTTTGGTACTTCCTTTGCCGAGTGACGTGGTATAGCCTAATTATTTAGACAATATAACTAATGCGGGGGGTCGCCTAAATGGTTAAGGAGTCTACAGTTTACTGATACTACTCCTTTCCATAATACACCGAGAAGATTATCGTATTTAGAAAGCGGCGTTGATAATGAAACAGTCGCCGAATTATTTGCCAGTAACAATATAAGTCTAAGTCAATTGCCGTATCCCTCTCCCATTGTCCTTGTCAAAAAAAGAATGGTGAAATCCGGATGTGCATTGATTATCGATGACTGAATAAACTTTCAGTTAGAGATTAATTTCCATCCCCTTTGATTGAAGACTGTTTAGAATATCTTTAAGGAAAATGGGTATTTTCGGTTATAGACTTGAAGAGTGGATTACAGATGTAATCCGATGAGATCATCGGTATGGATCCTGAATCAGTAAATTACACCTCATTAATACCACCTGACTATCATTACGAATACCTCCGTAGCCTTTTTGGAATAAAAAATGGCCCCGCTATGTTTCAGGGATTTAACTCTAACGTGCTTCATGAGATAGTACGAAAACATCAGGTTTATGTTTATAAGGATGACATTATCCTAATGACTTGCACTGTAGAACAACATATTATTTTAGTTTTCAAAATTTCTAGTCTCTGATTGAAAACCACCTTGAAATCAATTGCAAAGCCAAAGTGATGGAAAGCTACATCACGTCTTCTTATATTTCCGTAGAGCAACTGCTGCTGAATCTCGTTGAGACCCTTTCACTAAACATTTGTTAGTTGTTATCGATGCTTGTAACAAGTTCGTGAAACTGTATCCACACTGTAGTTCGCCGGCACTGGTCCCGAACTATCGTACTCGCCATACACCGGGGGTGTGGGACTGACTCCGTTCATACCACCCGCAATGTAAATTTGTATCCACTTTTATATGGGCATGTCGTAGGCGGTGGTCATTTGGCGAAGTGCCATATTTATACCCCTTTTCGCCAAAAGACCACCTATCGGACCACCTATCTGTCCCTTTTGTGGCGAAAAGGGGTATAAAATGGGACCTATCTTTTGTTGCGGAAAGGGGTATGAAATGGTGAAAAGGTGAATGCTATGAACCTTCCCAAGAAAAAAAACTTTATGTTGTTAAATTTATTTATTTTATTATAGGTACATATTTTTTTTATTTTTTTAAATTATAATTTATTGAACAGCTTTCTCAGTTAAATTTTCGTTTGACACGTTTTTATTATTTTGATCATTGTTATTATTATTTGATTTTGATTTGGTTTTAAAAAATCGTTTCTTTTGCAATTGAATTGCCTTGGGTATCAATGTTTCTGCATTGCCGGATTCTATTTCAATATCTAAGCAAAAAAATTAGATTTCGGAGTTTTAAAATAAAACGAGAATGGAAACTAACTTCGGCAAGCCAAAGTTTGGTAATACTCTAGTTTACGGTCGTCACCCCGAAACATCGCGAACAAATTATCCTCAACAGACCGCGAATTCTTAAGAATTTACATGAAGACATAAAGGCCCGGTCTTGTTACGTGTTTTGCTATAAAAATAAAGAAACCTTTTCTATGATTATGATGCTTTAAAAAACATAAGGGCTTTTTATCCATTGTCAAAATAACAAGCATTCTAAACAATGTGACAAAAATGTGTAATTGTTTTTGTAGCAGGCCAGGTCCCACAGCCGCGAATTAAATATCATCGATGGACCGATTCTTAAGAATTCCCGTGATAATCGATGACCAACTTTTCAAAGCGAGTCTGAAGAAATCGGGGTTGTTGGAACTTTTAGGTAATGACAGTCCGTCTATATTAATGTCTATCACTAACTGATTTTCACTCTGATAGCAGTCTAATAACTTCATAAATTGATTTTTAACTCCTACATGTAAGAATTGGCTACCAGCTACCCGCAAAATAATTGGCTTGGAAGGACAAGAAGAATTTTAAAAAGAACTGACGTCTATATTTTCTTCTCGAAAAATTTTAATCAGGTCTTTGGCGCATTCGCGGGATTCCCTATGCTTATTGTGCCATGGGCGAAGCTTTTCATTTAACAAAGAACTATTTTGCGAAACTGAAGGTCCGTCATTAGTTTCTTCACCTAACTCCTCTGTTTCTAAAACTTCTATATGATTATTAAAACCTGCTGTATTGAATGCCAAACTATCAGAAACTTCTAATTCGTTTGGCGGCTGCGCTTTCTCTATTTCCCAAAATCTTTTTTGGCATTTCTCCTTCTTCTCTTTAATTAATTGGCGTATATGCGTGTTGCTGTTCATGGCTGAATATCACATATTAAAAATAACACTTCAAATGTACGATAAGAAATTTAATTACAATGCTTACAAAATTTGGTGCAAGCGTTGGTTGAGAGATGGTAGCGACGTTTGATAGTGATGGCAATCCGTTACGACTAACGGCTGCGCTTTCTCTATTTCCCAAAATCTTTTTTGGCATTTCTCCTTCTTCTCTTTAATTAATTGGCGTATATGCCTGTTGCTGTTCATGGCTGAATATCACATATTAAAAAGAACACTTCAAATGTACGATAAGAAATTTAATTACAATGCTTACAAAATTTGGTGCAAGCGTTGGTTGAAAGATGGTAGCGACGTTGGATAGTGATGGCAATCCGTTACGACTAACATTGCGCCTAACGATATCGAATAATCGATTGCAATAAAAACATTTCGGTAATATTATTTTTGTTTATTTATATTTATAT